CCCCTCGCTGCCCGTCGCGGACCCGTTGCAGCCCTTCGTTGCTCCCTCGCTGCCCGTCGTGGCTCCGTTGCTGCCCTTAGCGGCCCCCTCGCTGCCCGTCGCGGACCCGTTGCAGCCCTTCGTTGCCCCCTCGCTGCCCGTCGTGGCCCCGTTGCAGCCCTCAGCGGTCCCCTCGCTGCTCTTCGTGGCCCCTTTGCAGCCCTTCATTGCCCCCTCGCTGCCCGTCGCGGACCCGTTGCAGCCCTTCGTGGTCCTCTCGCTGCCCTTCGTGGCCCCGTTGCTGCCCTCAGCGGTCCCCTCGCTGCTCTTCGTGGCCCCTTTGCAGCCCTTCATTGCCCCCTCGCTGCCCGTCGCGGACCCGTTGCAGCCCTTCGTGGCCCCCTTGCTGCCCTTCGTGGCCCCGTTGCACCCCCTCGTGGCCCGTTCGCTGCCCTTAGTCGCCCCGTTGCAGCCCCTCTTGGCCCCCTCGCTGCCCTTCGTGGTCTCATATATGCATGCCCTTTGTGGCCCCCGCTTGTTCGCGCCCGTCGTGGCCCATTATGCATGAGCTTCGTGGCCCCCTCGCTGCCCTTCGTGGCCCCTTCGCTGCCCTTCGTGGCCCCGTTGCTGCCCTCAGTGGCCTTGTCCTTGCCATCTGCGGTTTAATGTACGTATGTTTTTTGTGGCTCCCGCTCGTTCGCGCCCGTCGTGGCCCCATATGCATGCCCTCCGTGGCCCCGCTGTCGCCCTTTGTGGCCTCCTCGCTGTCCTACGTGGCCCCGTTGCTACCCTCAGTGCCCTATCCGGGGCTCGCACCCTGTTTTCGAGCTGTAGAAGTCTTGGGTTTCAGAAGTGTGTCTTTGGCACTCAGTTTACAACAGCAGCGGCTCCCGTCTGATACTTCCTCACAATTTATTAATAAATCGCGCTCTCGCGCGGAACGTCCTCACAATTTATACAGAAATCGCGCTCTCGCGCGGGACTTCCTGACAATTTTTTCAAACACCGCGCCGTCGACACTCAGGAATCGCGCTCTCGCTGTGAATTCCCTAGCGGCTAGCGCTCGAATTTTCCTTCGCGATTTATGCAGGACGCACGCTTCAGCAACCCGCCTGCTCGACCTGGCCGCGTGCGCCGACCTTCTCGACCCGCCCGGTAGGGTCTACCCGCCCGATTTGCCCGTCTGGTTCTGCCACGTGTTTTCTTCTCCTAGCCCCTCTCCTGCTACTGTCTTTCGTGCTCCATTCTTCTCCATCCCCCTTGTCCCTTCCATCCGTCCTCCTTTCCCCTGCTTTAGGGGCTGCACGGGAGTACACGTTGCAGGTAAGAAACATATATATATATACACACATATATATACACTCCCAAGGGGGTACGACCGAGGACGAAGAGGGGTTTGGGATATAAGCGTTGAATGGCACGCGAGTTGATAAGAACGAACAATCTTAAACTGATTGTTTTTGCTGTTGTTCTTGTTCTTGTTCTTGGCCGTGTTCTTCTTGTCGTTGCTGCTGTTCATGTTGTTGTTGGTGTTGTTGCTGTTGTTGTTATTGTTACTGCTGCTGCTGTTGTTATTGTGGTTGCTATTCTTCTTGTTGTTATTGTTGTTGTCATTGTTGTTGTTGGCCTTGTTATTGTTTTTGATATTGTTATTATTGTTGTCGTTGCTTCTGAATTTCCATTCCTCAAGAATAGTTATTGTTGATCCCTCCTGCCCGGGGGGCTCGCACGTGGTTCTCAACAAGGGAAGGTGTGGAGTCACCGAACTGTGTTGTTGGCCCCCGGTTTACAACAGCAACAACGGATGGCGCCCCTCCTGAAGGACCAGAGGCCTCTGCCGGCTCTGGGGGCCAGCTGTGGGACAGGCGCCTTGGCCCTCGAAAAGTGTTGACTCTCACGAGGACGGCGCTCCTCCCAGTGAGCCAGAGGGTTCTGCCGGCTCTGTGGGCCAGCTGTAGGCCAGCTGTTGAACAGTGGCCACACTCAAGTGGGCCTCGTGTGGTGGGCCAGAGGGCCGGCTCTGTGGGCCAGCCGTGGGCTGGGCGCCCCGTCCTTCGAAGAGTGGGATCCGCACGAGGATGGCGCTTCTCCTGGTGGGCTGGAATGCTGTAGCGTAAGGGATTCACCTGGTCATGCGAAGTGCCTGATCCGAGTCCTCTGCCGGCGTTGCTGATGTGGTTGCTTCTCATGTCGTCGTTGTTGTTCATGTGATTGTTTTGTCGTTTTTGTTGCTACTTTTTTGATAGTGGGGTTACCGCTGATGTGGTTGCTGCTTGTCGTTGTAAGTTGGTTTTGATTGTAAGCATTCTTTTGTGGATGAGGTTGCCGGTCATGTGGCTGTTGCTAATGTCGCCGTTGTTGCTCATGTGGTTGTTGATTTGCTGCACTCACTGCTGTTCATTTTTTCTACTGTGTTTGTAATGTCGTCGTGATTGCATGTTCCAGCAGAAGGGGTTCTCATCTGACATCAAGGATCGCCTATTCATATTTGGAGTCGACGTTGGGGTATTTACCTAACAGCTTTTGCTGATAGGTTTCTAGTAGGGTCAAAAGAGAGCATCTGGACTCCACAGGGGGGTCTGGGCGGGTGCCGGGGAGGAGAACCGGGAATCGTTTTTCGCAAACAGTCACACACTTCGTGCTCTTCGACCTCCCAGAACTCCATTCCCGGGCCACATTCTGGAGAACCGGGAACAGAGCCGGGCTCGCTTTTCGCCAACAGTCACACACTTCGTGCTCTTCGACCTCCCAGAATTCTATTCCCGGGCCACATTCTGGAGAACCGGGAACAGAGCCGGGTTCGTTTTTCGTCAACAGTTACACACTTCGTGCTCTTCGACCTCCCAGAACTCCATTCCCGGGCTACATTTTGAGTACCCGGAGCCAACTGTAGGCCACTTCGTGCTCTTCGAGTTCCCAGAACTCCATTCCCGGGCCACATTTTGGATGCCCGGAGCCAACTGTAGGCCACTTCGTGCTCTTCGATTTCCCAGAACTCCATTCCCGGGCCACATTTTGGATGCCCGGAGCCAACTGTAGGCCACTTCGTGCTCTTCAAGTTCCCAGAACTCCATTCCTGGGCATGATTTTGAATGCCCGGAGCCAACTGTAGGCCACTTCGTGCTCTTCTAGTTCCCAGAACTCCATTCCTGGGCCACATTTTGAATGCTGAGGCAGGCTGATGCTGCGGCCGAGGCAGGCTGAGGCTGAGGCAGGCTGAGGCTGAGGCCGAGGCTGAAGGCAGACTGAGGCTGAGGCTGAAGCAGACTGAGGCTGAGGCTGAGGCAGGCTGAGGCTGAGGCTGAAGCAGGCTGATGCTGAGGCAGGCTGAGGCTGAGGCTGAGGCTGATGCAGGCTGAGGCTGAGGCAGGCTGAGGCTGAGGCCGAGGCTGAAGGCAGACTGAGGCTGAGGCTGAAGCAGGCTGAGGCTGAGGCTGAGGCAGGCTGAGGCTGAGGCAGGCTGAGGCTGAGGCTGAGGCAGGCTGAGGCTGAGGCTGTGACTGCGACTGCCGTTGCCGCTGCGACTGTCATCGCGAATGCGACTACGACTGCGAGAACAGCAGAATTCTACAACTGGATTTTCATCTGAATCTTAAGGGGAATGCTTTCAGATATGCTTCTACATATCGCTGTTAGGTTGCTTTGCCGGGATAATTTTTAAGAACAGGGATCGAGGAAGAGGAGGAGGAGGAGGAGGACAATGATGACGATGATGTTAATGACCATGATGATGCTGCTGATGCTGCTGCTGCTGATGATGATGATGATGATGATGATGTCGATGATGGTGATCATGATGATGATAATGCTGATGATCATGCTGATGATGATGATTGTGATGCTGCTGCTGATGATGATGGTGATGCTGATGATAAAGGTGATGATGCTGATGCTGAGAATGCTGATGATGATGCTGATGATGCTGCTGCTGCTGATGATACTGATTATGCTGATGGTGGTGGTGATGACGAAGACGATGACGACGATTATGATGAGGATGATGATGCTGATGATGATGCTGCTGATGATGATGCTGATGATGATGATGATGGTGATGATGGTGGTGATGATGATGATGATGAGGAGGGTGATGATGCTGATGATGCTGAGGATGATGATGATGACGATGATGACGATGATGATGATGATCATGCTGATGGTGATGGTGATGATGATGACGATGATGATGGTGATGATGATGCTGATGATGATGATGATGACGATGATGAAAATGATGATGATGATGCTGATGATGATGGCGATGCTGATGATGATGATGATGGTGATGATGGTGGTGATGATGATGACGAGGAGGAGGATGATTATGATGATGATGACGATGAGGATGAGGATGAGTATGATGATGATGATGATGATGATGATGATGATGATCATGATGATCATGATGACGATGATAACGATGATGATGATGATGATGATGATGCTGATGATGATGATGATGATGATGACGATGATGGTGATGGTGATGATGGTGGTGATGATGATGGTGATGAGGAGGATGATGATGTTGATGATGCTGATGATGATGATGATGATGCTGAGGATGAGGATGATGATGATGATGATGATGATGACGATGATGATGATGATGAAGAAGAAGAAGAATACTAATATTAATAATAATAATAAGAATAGTAATAATAATAATAAGAAGAAGACGAAGAAGAATAATAAGAATAAGAAGAATAAGAATAATAAGAAGAAGAAACAGAATAATAATAATAATAAATAGAAGAATAATAATAATAAGAAGAAGAATAATAACAAGAAGAAGAAGAATTAGAAGAAGATGAAGAAGAAGAAGAAGGATCATAATAAGAAGAATAATAATAAGAAGAATAAGAATAATAATAAGAAGAATAAGAATAATAATAATAATAAGAAGAATAATAATAAGAAGAGGAAGAAGAAGAATAAGAAGAAAAAGAAGAATAATAATAAGAAGAAGAAGAGGAGGAGGAGGAGGAGGAGGAGGAGAGCGGGAGCGCCGCTACCGCCAGGCAGTGCGGCCAGGGCGTGGAGCGGTGGGCGGACGGGGCTCGCTACGAGGCGGCGCGCCTCGGCTGCCAGAGGGCCTCCCTCCCCCTCCCCCTCGGGCACGGCCCGAGTCTCATCGGGCACGGCCCAGCACGGCCCGAGTCTCTCTCTCTCTCGCTCCCTCCCCCTCCACTCCCTTCCCCAGCACTCCGAGTCTCTCTCTCTCGCTCCCTCCCCCTCCGCTCCCCTCCCCCTGCTCGTGCAGCAGTGCGCGCCCGCCGCTGCTCAGGCCCGCGAGGGGTGCCGCGCGCGGGCCAACTCGGTGCTCGCGGCCCCCCGCGGCAGGCGGACCCTGCCTCGCAGCCCTGGCCAGAGAGGAACTCGATCGCCTCCTCTCCGACAGCGTCTTGGCATCGCTCGGACGTGTGCATTTTTTCTCGGCGAGGACCATCGAGGAGCACTGTGGGTCACCTTACGAAAAAATACACGCACGGGATCGACAAATGCACAGGGAATGGACGGCCGAGCCATGGCGAGGCGTCCCCTCCCCCCCCCCCCCCGTCGTTCCCCCCCTCCTCACTGCGGCGCTCGGCCGACTCCTCTGGCTCTCCAGCCTGCGCCCCTGCTCCCGCGGGCTGCCTCCGCCCGTGCGCGATCCTCACGCGCCCGTGCCTGTCAGCCGCGCGGCCGACAGGGAGCGGATGCCAACTTCCCCGCCCTCGCCTCCCGGAGGCGGAATGCTGGCTGGCCCTGCCAGGGCGGGCCTGCGTACTCTGCCTCTGCCTGTCTCGCCCTCGCTCTCCCCCCGAACGAGGCAGCTCGGAGCTCAGGCACCGGATGCATGACTGCTCCCTGCGGAGCTGTAGTCCGTGCAGGCAGCGTGCCGTGCACAGTTGCGCGTCCGCGCAGCCCGCGCGCTCTGCCCTGCGAGCGTGGCCGAAACTCCTGGGCTCCGTCTATGATTCGGCCACCGCGGGCTCTGCTCTTCGAGCCGGGCGCCCTTCTCTGGGGCTCCTTCGCACCTTCTTGCCGTCGATGCGATCTCCGACGGTATGGTTTTTCAATCCTGGCGCTTCTCTTTCATCTCGGCCCTGGCGGGCCGTTTTCGGGCCCCGGAGCCATCAAACATGGATGCAGGGCGAAAGACTTCTCTCCCCGAAAAGCGGTCAGGCCCTCTGGGGCCGCGAAGTGGAGAAACCGTACTGGAGGATGCCTAGGTTGTCGCCGATATTTCCAAGCGCCATTTTGCCAGTGCTTGCCCTGATTCACAGGCGCGGGCGCAACGGCACCCCACCGGACCGCATCCGCCGCCAGCAGGGGGGATGCAGGGAGGGAGGGAGGGAGAGAGGGACGCGGGAACACGAGGAGAACGAGAGGATGCATGCCCCCTCCCCTCCCCTCCCCTCCCCTCCGCTCCCCGTGCCCTCTCCTCCCCTCCCCCTCCCCTCCCCTCGAGCTGCCGCTGCGGCGAGTTTACGCCGGGTGCGCTCTGTGTTTCTCGGGCGGGAGGCGCCCAGGCCCAGCACGGCGAGGGGCGGCACGCGCTCCGAGCGCGTCGGCCTGGAGAAGGACGAGGAGGACGAGGGCTATGAGGACGAGGGAGGAGGGCGACGACACGAGGAGGACGAGGACGAGGAGGAGGGCGACGAGGAGGACGAGGACTGTGAGGACGAGGAGGACTATGAGGACTATGGGGACGAGGGAGGAGGACGAGGGGCCTGGAAGAGGAGAGGGCGCAGACCCGGGTGCCGGAAGACGACGAGGGATGAGGACGTGGCTGAGGACGGAGCGGAGGCGCTGGGGGCGGGCGGCGCCGCAGTGGGCGCGAGAGGGCCGCTCCGAGGCTCCACTTGACGCCGAAGGCCGTTTGGGTAGGCGCCCAGCCAGGATGGAGGTGACGTGTCTGTTGCCTCCTCCTCGGAAGCGTAGCGTTCTGTCTTTCTCTCGCTGGCACGGCTGAGTTAGTTCGGGCTCGCGTCTCATCGCTCGGGAGCTTGACCTTCGGCCCCTCCTTTCCCTCCTCCTCCTCCTCCTCCTCCTCCTCCTCCTTCTCTTCTTCCTCCCCGTTCACTTCCTCCTCCTCCTCCTCTTCTTCCTCGCCGTTCACTTCCTCCTCCTCCTCCTCCTCCTCCTCCTCCTCCTCGTCGTGACTCCACCTCCCCTTCCCTGTCTCGAAGAAGCCAAAGCAGCACCACCAAACACTCCGAGCGCTCCGCGCGGGCTTGTTGGCATCGGCGCCGGCCCGCCCCGGAGCGGCGCCTCCGGCGCCGACCCGCAGACCCCGCGTCAAGAGCTCCGAGAGCTCCTGCCCGTGCCGCCCCCTCGCTCCTCCACGCACGCGCCCCCCGCCCGCCTCCCCAGGCCGTGGCGCTCGCGCCCTCGCCGTGCACGCGGCTGCAAGGTTCGAAGCCCTCAAGACATGACCTCCTGCTTCGGCGAAAGATCCTCTACAGTCGGGGCCCTGAAGAAGGAACCCTTTTTGTTGGGGAGGGGCTCCGCGTTTCTTAAGTGTTTCACAGCTTG